GTCTCCATCAACCTGCAGGAGGTAAAGTATGTATAATGCTGGAAAAATAAATCATCTAAAATTGTTTCTCTTTGGCTTTTAAATCTATCTATTGCTCACAGAAACTATTAGCTATATGCCTAAAAGATTTAACAAAAACCTTTGGAAATCAAAGCTGCATCCCAGGCCACAAGCTCGGCTGTCACGGAAAATGTAATCAAACCTACACAAGTAGAATTTCCATTTGTTAAATTCTTGACTTTAATTGGAGCTTGAATTTGAAGGAAGATGTAACGAACAAATAATTGAATATCACTTACTTATCCACATCAATCCCATTCCGACCATTTGCAACAATATCATATAAAAATTGCTTCTCCTTTGCACTCTTCAACATAGTACAAAATAGTAACAGTAGTAATAATAAAGACAAGAAACAACAACATCCATACATTTTTCCTAATACTAGAGAGAAAAAATTCCCAGTGATCAAAATACACCTATAAAATGGATAGTAGAAACAAGCACTTACTTTTGGTAGTGCAAACTCTGTGCTAGCTAGTATCAATTCCTGGAAAATAAATAAATGAATATGAATAAACGTCAATTCTGGCAACAGGATATCAAATTTTACACACGACTTGACATGCGCCTAGTTTTCCAAATTGGGCCTCTATTCAAAAGAATTGTTATTATACATAAGGATCAAAGTAAGTAAAAAACACAGGAAAAGTTGCAAGCTGGAATTCTAAGTATATATAGAAGGAGAAAATAAAAAGATAGATGTCATCAAAGTTTTTGATGCCACTCACGGGCAAGAAAATATAGCTTTATAATAGACCACCTGCTCATGACACAGTTCAAAACTTTTCAACTGTAAATTTGAGATATATAACTAAAAGGGATAGTTAAAGAAAGAAACCATATGGTTAAAAATAGTTGACAATTCCAAAACCATAGGATTTATTAGTATCTAGATTATGGAAAAGGTATAGGACATTCTAAGTTTATTTGGGAATATATGCAATGTCAATGCAAATGGCTCTGCATATAATACTAGTTAAGAGGATGCTAGACATACCATAGTGACCAAAAGAAGCAAACAGGAGAAAAAAGAAAGAAAGAAGATTGTGTAAGCAAAAAATTCCTAAACAAGATTAGCTTACCTTGACTCTTTTAATCATCTCAGCTTCAACGTCAATATGGTGCACATCAACAATATGATCAATCAGCTTCGCTGACATTTGCTCATGAGCCCTGGAAAGTACAGATATGACATAAAATGAATAAAAAGCATATATTTATATATTTTTTTTTCCTTAGGAAGTGGGAGGGCAAATCACTTTAGAATTCAATCTCCCTCAAAAAAATCACAAAATATAGATACAGGAGATCACTAAAAGATACATACAACTTTCAAGCCATACCATCACCCAAGAGAAGAAGAAAACCCGATGTACTGATTAACTTTTAAATATCATATTATGGAAAAGACATTAGAGTGACACACGTAAGGTCAATGGTTGATCACAGATTATGACATAAATGGAACCTGTAATGTAACCTATAATGTAACCTAAAAGCAAAGTATGGTATTTAGCAAAATGTAAAATTTTCAAGAAACACTGCAAACCACCAAAAACAATTGACCAGTGTTGTCAAGAGAGCAAGGCACACTCTAGGCACTTGAAACCTTATATTCCTGAGGCACAAGGCACAAAAATAGAGCTCACCTGAGTGAAGTAAGGCGCAATATGTATACATGTGTGTGTGTGTGTGTGTGTGTAATAAACTTAAGATATATAATTTTGATAATAAACTCTAAAGAGTAGTCCATTTTTATCCTACAAAACATGCAAAATTTCATTTTGTTTTAGCCAATATGAATGATTTCCTTATGGTCTCAAGTTTGCTGTTGAATACTCAAAAATTGAGAATTCATGAGTTTGATATTGTTCCTTTTTTTAGTATTAAAAGTACAGATAGTAAAAAAAATTAAAATGAAAGAAATGAAAGAGAATTTCAATCAGGCGGGCATTGCTTGTGCCTACCACCTTAAAATAAAAAAAGGCAGACCTAGGCGCACCAGGCGTGTGCCTCGCTCGAAAGGGTCTAAGGCACTGTTGTTGTCTGGCACTGCACCTCAGTGCCTAGGCACACAGCTTAACAGCACTACATTTGACACAATGAGTTCATGACAGCAGAAACCAGGAAGAAATGCATCGTATAAAACCATGTAAGATATACCATTTGAAGCCATTAAGAACTTTGGGGAGAAACTCTCGTTCAAACAAGTGACTGAAAGGTCCATGGCCTACATCATGTAGAAGTCCTGCAATTGGAAGAACAAAATCCATAAGGAACCATTTGAATTGAAATGAAGGAAAAACTTTTGGGAACAGTAGTAGTTACCTGCAATTTTAACTGTTTGAACATCAAACCGATCAATACCAAGCTCCAAACCCTAGAAGAACCATATCTTAGAATATATACATATAATACAATAGGTAGAGAACAAGTGCAAAACAGTTCTATACCTGATAAGTTTTGAGCTTGTGGATGGCTTCACCAGCAAGCCAATACACACCAAGAGAATGTTCAAAGCGGGAATGCACAGCCCCAGGATAAACCATGTGTGTCATTCCTGAAACATGTTAAAAGTTAGTCACATAAACAAGTTACAGCCTGCCGCATGATCTCAGCGAATTATGTGAAACTAAAGCCTGGAAACCTTGGATAAATTTGGGTAAAATCAACACCAAAGCAATGAAATGGAGTTGATTCGAGTCCAATACAAGTGAACAAACCTAGATCCCATTAACAGAAGTGTATTTTATTAATGGCAAACAATGCAACTGACAAGAACATAACATAATTAAAGCATAATCTTTTAACTTAAAAAGTGCTGATATCATCATTTTAATAAAGAGCTAAAATGCTACATCATATGCTTAGAACAAATAGAGTACATGTAGATACTTGTGCTATAAAGTAGAGTCAGACTGCTCATCTGTTCCATCCGAGCAACAGCAGACAAATAAAGTAAATGCCAACTCTTAAATCTATTTGATAGCAAGAATCGCCGAAACATTTTAAATAATACAAAAAAGAAATAGCAAAAGACTTTTTCTGTTTATCCTTTTATGACTGTGATGTATTCAAATTATGATTTATGCCTACTTTGGCATGTAACACAGAGGATAATATTGATGTCGTAAATGCATATTTCATACCAACATCATGAATTCCTACTTTGAATCTAACAAACACACAAATTCCCTGCCATTTCAGATATATCCTATTTTAGCTTGTTTCAACATGTATGATATCCTTATTAAATAAATTACACATCTCAGTCACACATATTTATTCAACTGTAATTTAAAAACATTCATTCTCACAGGAATTAAAAAAGAATATAAAGATTACCGAGTTGCTTGAGCTCGCGAAGCCTATACCATAAAAAAAGAAAAAGGAAAAACAAATGAATAATGAGATTTAAAATAAAATAAAGCTAAAATAATAACGAAATAAAAGTCAACTTGCCTTTGAAATTGCTCTGTGTCAATAAACTTCAAAGAAAGCTGCGACCAAACAAACAAAAAAAAAAAAGGAAGCAAATAATTATTTATCAAGCAACAGAAGAATAAATCAAGGTAGAAAACAATAAAAAAGCAGTCAGCTAGTCATCTTCACTCTCCAGTCAACAAAGATAGCAAAAATTCAAACATAAAACTCGTATCAATAAGAAAAAAAATGTTCAAATTTCTTAAGATTTTCATTTAGTATATCGAAACAGTGAACAAATCCGATTAAATGTTAAACCAAACATTTCTCGAGAATATTTTTTGAATTAATTTGTAAGTCACTTTACCAAAACAAACATGAAACAAACAACAAAAATGTAAAAGAAAATAGAGAAAGCTTATACAGGATCGAGATAAATGTTGCCGTGGACGTTGTCGTGGACGTGTTTGGAGAGCCTGAGATCGTGCGAAAGAGACAAGTGACAAGCCGTAGACAAAGGGAGATTTTCATTGCAGTAAGCGCCCATTTCTCTGAGACAGAGGCTTCGAGAGGAAAAAACGAGAAAGGAAGTGGAAGAGAAAAGAAAATTAAAAAAAGGAAATGTTTGGAGTAATTTGGGGAAGTGGAGTGGCAGAGCCGCCAAGATTGTCCTAATGTATGGGATTTTGTGTAGCTGAAGCGGGAACACTAATAGAATATCCGTTTTTTTTTTTAATTTTATTTTCTAGGGCTCTTTTTACATTCCTTTTTTTTGTTCCTTCTTTTATTTAAATTTTAATCAATTAATTAATAAATTAAAGCTTTATTTTATGGAAAAAAATTAATTTAAAACAAGAATCTCTCATCATTTTAGAATTATTTATCCATACCTATATATTAAAATTGTCTCTAAACAAAATTAAAGATTTTACTTGAGTTCTGTTTTTGAAAATTTTTTCTTTCTCATTTTATGAAATTTTAATTTTTTTCTTTTGATGGAATGAAAATTTCAATTTCAAGTAAATATCTACTAATTTTAGTAGTTTTTTGTAAATTTTTTTAAAGGAATTTTTTTTGGACAAAAGAAATCAAATAGCCCTTACTTAGGATAAAAGGATAATAATGAACAATTTAATACATGCCAAACATTGCATTAATTACACGTAATTGTTAAAATTTAAAATTGAAATGATATTCAATATAAGTACTTAAATATTCATATAATTACCATAATCTTTAGTTTTATTGAGCACATTAAAATTATTTAAAAAAAGGGGATCCAAAGCAAGCTAAGAATCATATTTTTCTCTCTCCTTGTCTATTCTTGATTTTTTTCAGGCAATTTTTATAAACAATTAAAAAAGAAAAGAAGAAAAAAGCAAGAGGGGTATTGACGGGCCAGAAGCCAGCCACCATTGGCCCAAAATAACCAGCTTAGAATGAAAATTCCCAGTCCAAAGCAACACCATACACCAATACAAGCAGAGAACCCAACCTCCAAAGTGGATAACATAATATAAACGTGCGGCTGAAAACACAGCATCCAACGAGATTAACTACCAAACTCCGACATCCATGGCAGCCGTGCACTGCCATCGTCTTTCCTCTCGTCGTCTGTCCACAGTCGCAACTTTTCTCTTCATGCAACCAAATTTCGCCTTCACTTCTCCATTTCCTCACCTTTACAGCATCCAAATAAGACCTCCTAGGCCAAACAATCAAACACCAACAATGGGTACTTGGCTAGCATCAAAGCTTACATGGAAAACCCAAACTCCATCTCAGGTTTTGCTAGCAAAGTCATTGGCTCTCTCCCTGTGATCGGCCTTGTAGCCAGGATTTTTAGTGATGAAGGTGGTGTTGGTGGGGATATTATAGATTTTGCAGAGTTTAGAAGAAGGGTCGGCAAGAAATGTACCATTACTGATTCTAGAGCCTTCTATGAGTTCCAAGATAGGAGAGGCCGGGTAATTTCCCTTTGTCTTCTGACAAAAACCCTTTTTTTTATCTAATTTATTTTTCTTTTCTGCAGTGTATATGTTTGATTTGTCCATTGTGTTTTGTCATTAGTGTTATATTAATTGGTCATTACAGTGTGCTTATTGTCACAAAGTTCTATAATTAGTCATGTTTCTGAGATGCTATTTGGAACCAAGATTCTGAGGTGGGCTTGTTTTTGGATAGGCAGGGGATCCTTTGTATGTTCTGCTATGCTGTTGGCTAGCAGCTGTTGGTGCTGGTCTTCTTAAATCCGAGGAGATATTGGAAGGGGTAGCAAGGCTTCGGCTTTCAAATGATATTGAATTTGAAGAGCAGAATTTTATTGCAATGATGAGCGATGCAAGAGAGGTCAGTTCATCTCACCTTATCCCGTGTAGTATCACACTTGACCTGATACAAATGATATGTTCAATGAGTAAAGCCAAGCACCTTAGTTTATTACTAATAGTGAAGGAAAGGAAGTTTTAACCCGGTTCAAAAGATGAAAAAGAACTAGATACTAGAAACAGTCTCATGATTGGTAGCTAGATTTTTGTGTATTTTGTGACAGTGCTTTGATAGTTCTGTGGAATTTTCATGTAGAGCTTGGTAGTGAAGAGCTTATAATTGGACTAACAGAATAGTGAATAACTGCTTTGTGATCTCCATTCTATGTGGGTGCAATGTGTGTTTATGTTTCCATTATTGTGTTGTTTCCTTGTGTTTTTGATGCTGCTTTGAGCTGCTTCTGTTGTATAAGTACTTACTAATGTACACACTACAGAGGCGAGCAAAGTTGAATGTTGAGACCCCAACTGTCGCCATGGAGACTCGAGCTGAGAAGGCTCTAGATGCAATTTATGTCTGTTGCTTTGGGAAAGATCCAATAGAAGAGGAAGACGAGAGCTTGCTGAATATTATGCTTAAAGCTGTTTTCCCAACTGTTGAGAAATCACAGATACAAAGAATTATCAAGGACAAGGCAGTGAAAGTAGCAGAAGGGGGTGATGCAGACACTGTTCCAGAACTAAAGCCATTATCAAAGGAAGCTGTACAATTGCAAATGAAAGACCTTGAATTTCTTAAACAAAACAGGGAGACATAGAAGAAATGTTAAACAAAATGGAATCCTTTGTTTCTTCACACTACATAGTGTATCAGAAGTTGAAGCTAAGAAGAGTGTATCGGAAGTTGATGCTAAGAAAATGGCTCCATGATTTCCATCCTCAAATGCGTGATGAAATGGAAACTGATACTTCACCAAAAACATAGACTCCCTGATCAGTTTGTTCTCTATGGCAGATAAATCATGGTGGTTGTTTCTGTTTCCATTCTTTAACCCCAGTCTTTTGGTTTCCCTTTTCTCTGTTTTTTGTTCTTGTTTTTTTGTAGTTCCAAAACCCATATTCTGGTGCAAGCTTTTGACAAAGGCACCATTAAATGGAACATCTTGTGAGTGCGATACAAGTTCAAAGCTCTTCTGCTGATAATGATAAATTGGGACTCCTTTCACTTACTGTCAGTTACTTGAGATTTTGGTAGACTAATTATGAACCAGGCAGCCATTAAGGAAAGTGGAATCCTCTAGCGTTTTACACTCATATCCTGTTTGTAATTGTTTCTCTGGCATAACAAAAGTATTCACTGGAAGTCTTGAATAATAAGAAAATCTGATAAGTACTGTTGTTTTCTTGATATCTAATTCGAAGTTCCTAATAACTAATGTGCCTACTATCTAAAGAATGATATGCCTCCACACAATGATAAAAGATGAACTCCGCATTATAACCATCAAAAGTTAACTCATTACGACTTTATTTCTGTTTCAAAAACGGAAAGTGTACAACACCACACTGGTACATTATTTGCAGAGGACTCTGCTCCAAAAAGGAAACTTTGGACCACTCAACAGTACGAAATTTCAAAAGGACCTTAGCGACTGACATAAAATACATTCAGATTCATGTACAAGAAGCATGAATCAGCGGTACTGAGGAGCTAGTTCACCTTCCTTGACAATGTAATTTTGTGCAGGAAATTCTTCACCCTTGAAGTACCTCTCAAGCATATCTTTGACTCCAGCAGCATATCGCAACTGCACAAGTTCCATTTCATCTTAGTTGTTGGCAAGAACATAAAGGAGAAGAAAACATAAAAGTAAACATACCTGTGCATCAATGGTGGTACCAGAAATATGAGGCGTCATAGCTTGATTTGGCATGTAACGCCATGGATGGTCCTTTGGAGCTGGTTGTGGATACCAAACATCTCCACTGTAACCTGAAAATCAAGAGGGAAAAGAAAATTTATCTGTTAAAGAAGGAAAAATGAAACTTTTCTAGTCAACGAAATATTATGTCATGCACTGTCCTGATCGTTGAGAAAATGAAAGACCAGCCCTGAAATTCATGAACTTTTCCTGTCTGCAGAAACCCGTTGTGGGTTCCTAAAGTAGTGCAATTGATGAGAACTTTGAGACAATTTTGCAATTTGGAACTGTTGATCACAATACTTGTCTCTATCCCAAGAATAGATGTTTCATTAAGCACCTTCTTAATAGTTTATTGAAGACATGTCTATGTAGCTTTACCATCCAAGGAGTGCATTATAATTTAAATAGACAAACGCAATCCAAAAAATGCTGGCTGCAAGACAACATTTTAAGGCCCAAAATTAAATTTCATTACTAGAACACTTCAATTTTCAAATAGTCAACATACCTGCAATGTGTCCACTGGAGCAAGCATCTGCAACTGCCTGTGTGTCCATAATTGCTCCTCGAGCATTATTAACAATCAGGACTCCCTTCTTCAATTTTGCAATCCTATCTTTGTTGAACATCCCTCTATCACAATATTACAGATTTGATAAATTTAATGCAAATTTTTTGAGCAATATCAAACAACAGTAACCAACATTTAACACAAGGACTAGGACATTAATAGCTAATAATAAAACCAGACCTTGTCTGCTCTGTAAGAGGCATGTTTATGACAATTATGTCACACTTTGGAAGCATTGCATCAAGATCCTCCTCAAATTTTGCTCCAGTCTGCTTCTCCAATTCTGGATCTATCTTGACTCGATCATGATATAGGAGATTGCAGTTGAATGGTTTCAGTCGTTGGAGTAAGAGCCTGCCAATACGCCCTGCACCAATAGTTCCCACCGTCTTCCCTTCAAGATCATAAGCTCTGTAAGCAATACCTGCAACATTCCAATCTCCAGTAATAACTTGGTGGTGGCCAGGTAAGAAATTCCGGACAAGAATAAGAATTCTCATTAGCTCGTCTTCGGCAACCGACACTACATTGCTTCCTGTAACCTCAGCAACAGTCAAGCCAGCTTCTGCAGCTGCCTTCAGATCGACGTGATCAGAGCCAATCCCCGCTGTGAGAAGCAGTTGCAAGTTTTTGGCTTTCTTGATCCTCTCTGCTGTAACATAGGCTGGGTGGAAGGGGGTGGATATGAGGACATGGAGATCAGGGATATGCTTTTCGAGTTCTGCGATAAGGACATGGGTTAGTAGAAAAATTTTCACAAATTAACTATTTTTAAAGTCCATATACCTAATGAGTTAGTCCAAGGTGAAGTTTACTTCAGGTTACCCTCTTCAGTTTCTAAGATAAGACTAGGGATGCCATGGATTAGCTATTCGAATCATAACACTAACAGATAGTAATGCACTGGTTATTTTCGATGATGCAACTAATATTGCTGGCATTCTTAACTGTAGACTTGGCAAGTAACATTGTAAAATGCTCTTCATGTACCATCAGGAACTCTGATAGCGGACAAAGTCTTTTCGAGGCTTCAAGCTAATTGATGGTCATATACCTCAACAAGAGCCACTCTATTTGACACAGTTATGACAGAAACAATTGCTTTACACTATAACATTGTATATCAATCATCTATTGATTTGCCATCAAACTCACTGTGTTAACCTTGACGCTTACTGCCAATTAGGCAGGTCACACCACCCTGTACCATCCAAATTTACTTTCCTATGCAAGATCATGGTGGCATCGGTGTCATTCATGATTATTAATGATAATACAATATGTGCGTATTGTGAAAAATGTAATTGGCATCTTTATACTTACCGCAATCGGGTCCTTCTTTGTCATCAGTGACAATATACTGGTGGCCCTGTGATTCCAGCCACTCACGCAAGCCCAAGGCTCCCTCCACACAACCAACAAAGTTGGGATTCTTTTCGAAATACTCATTGGCCTTGTAAAACACACCAACAATCTTTTTGCTCCCTGGAGAAGCCTGTTAACAAAGATTAGGAGACATGAGCACTTAAACCACTAGTGTACTGAAAAACGGAAACGCAGGGCAACCAGAAAATCTAATTTTTTTTTCGTTTTTCTTGTTAAAAAAGGAGGGTTTCTCATTGTTTTGAGCAGTAGCTGCAGTGTCATGTGGAAGCTACACTTTCCCACACCAAGTCATAAATTATAACCCCTTGGATAATGCATGCATAGGAATTAGCCAGGCCCTTCTCTGCTTTCTGATGATCCATGGCCAAAGCTAATCCAAACCATTTAATTAACTACTTAATTACCAAAAAGATTGTTAATCTAAGCCTACAATAATCTTTAAAAAAAAACAAAACAATCAAAACCAACTTTCAACAAAAACAAAGGGCCACGAATTAGCTTACATGGAGTTGCCTGGTAAGAACAGAAGATGACCCAGGGTTGGCCAAGGCTTTGATAGCAGAGCTAGCAACTTGCTTCATAGCCATATCTCAAAAACACTTCAAACCGACACTGGATATGCTTTGAGGAGAAGAGAGCAATAATTGAAGTGACCTGTTCAAGCCGAACCACACGCGTCCTTTTTATAGGCAATAAATCAGTTGCCAGCTGCTTACCAGGCACACTTCAGCTTGGCTTTTGCTTCCATAATTTGATAAACGGAAGAACGTGATTGGGTGGTGAGTTCCACTCGCTTAAGTCTGCGTTTGTCTTTTTGGGGTGTCGCCTTTTAGTACGTGGCGAATTTCAGTTTGTACTTCTCAAAGGCCCACGCCTGGGTGGGTATTGACTGCACGCAGCCATTAAGATTTCACGGAGAAAGAGATTTGACTGTTTAATTACACGTGAGATAGTAGTAGATATGGTTTCTGGATTAACTTTGATAATAATATCTCTTTCTTGTATCATGAGTTTTAATTTAATCTCATGATTATTTTTTAGCATAAAATTTTAACTTTTTTTAAAAATTATTTTAAAAAATTTAAAATAAATTTATTTTTTCATTATAGTAAATTAAATTTTTATTTTTTATTTTAAATTAAAATATTTTTTTATATTTTTATTTTAAATTAAAATAAATTTTTATAATTAATAATAATTAATTGATATGAATTAAAATATTATTTATCATCTTATATTTATATGATATTTATGTGATATTTATGTAATTATGTCATCATCATCATGTTGCATGGTTAATTATTATGAAATATTCAAATACAATGTAATGTAAAATGATAAATGAAATTTTAATTAATGATAATTAATAAATAATTTTTTATAAATTTTAAATTATAAAAATAAAAAATATTCTATGAATAATAATTTTTAAAATTGAAAATACTTGAAATTTTCAAATTCTAAAATGTTAGTACCTCAGAGGCAATTTAAGGATTGTTTTCTTTTCAAAAAAAAATCTAATGATTATTTTATAAAATGCAAAAGGATTACATTTGTTATGTTATTTTTCATTGCATACTAACTTGATAAACAGAATAAAAGGTTTAAATTCTGTAAGATAATTATTACTGCTTCTAAATGACTTTAGATAGTGAAAAAGTAAATATCATTGCAAGAAAACCACCTAAAAAAATATATTTAAAATTGTAAATACTTGTTTTAAATAAAAATATTGTTTTAAGTTTATGCTTTCCTAGGGAAGGGATATAATGACCCTACGTGGCACAATCATCAAATTTGACCATACCATTGACCAAAAAATTTATTTGAGAACAAAAAAATTGGAGTAGCTATCTGGGGACGGTGGATAAACAAATCCCGCCCCCCGACAATTCCAGATTTTAACCAGAAATGAATATAATTAAGGACCGTATCTCCGTGACCAAACAGTGAACATCGTCTTCCATTTTTTTTTAAATTTATTTTTTTCTTTTTTCATTTATCTCTCCTTCTTTTCGTCTGCAAGAGAAAGCGAGTTACCAGTTCAGTGTCTCAGTCCACTGTGTCACCGCTAGCGATCTTGAAACCATGGAATCGTTCCCGAGTCTAACCGTGACTCAGCGCGATCAGATATTGGTTGAGCAACGAGTCTTCAACAAATACAAAGCTTTCTACGATATGCCTCCCAGCTCCCAGTCCTTCATGTTATTCCCTAAAGCCCTAGAAAGTTTCATTGAATTTTCTCTTATTTTTAATTTCAATTCGAATTTTTGATAGGTTGGAGCTTCAACGGGAAAATCACGTGGAGTACTTAACAAACGGATTAAAACATCTCGGTCCTTCTTTCTGTGTATTAGATGCTAAGTAAATCGTTTTTTAGCTAATTTTGAATTAGTATTAATTAATTAAAATTAGAGGTAATTTTAATAAATTTGATTGTTTAATGTGCAGTCGGCCTTGGCTTTGTTATTGGATTATTCATTCGATTGCTTTAATGGATGAGTTTGTAGATCCTGAATTGGAAGATAATACTATTGATTTTCTTAGTCGTTGTCAGGTAGAAGATTTATTCACTTTTTTTAATTTATAATATTTTTTGAGTTTGCGGTTTGTGGATTCTTATTTTATGAATATGATTAATGGATTAGGTGTCTGCTTGGTTTATATGGGAATAAGATTGCATTATTTGCAGTGAGTGTGTGCTCACGCACATGGATTGGCACTACTTGTGTTTGTGCTCTGCTCCAGCTCTTAGCTGCTTTGAGCTTGGTGCTTACTAGTTAATTGAACTATATGATTACAAGTTTGTTTTCTTTGGTGTCTAAACTTTTTCTTCGAATGGATATCTGATATTCTTTTTATTTTTGTATGTATTCTTATCACTATTAGGATCCAAATGGTGGGTATGGTGGCGGACCTGGACAGGCAAGTAAATTCTGGATATGATCATTGTTAAATTCTAACCTACTGTATTCTTGTATGCTAACAGTAATAATTGGAGTCGCCTATTTTTAATTGATTCTTATTGATGCAAAACATCCTAGATAACTCATGTATGCATAGCTCCATCTAAAGATAGAGTCATTTGCTAATTGCCAGTGTCAACCAAGCAATAAAGAACAAAGTAAACAAATAATGGATATAAACATACCCAAAAATGAACCTAGAGGCAAAAGGGGCTCCAACTGTGATAGGCCAACAACAAAGAGATGAGAAGTGTGAAAAAATTCCTTTCACGCTGGCGAGTAACCAATGCTGACAAGTGGCAGTTGGTTTAGGAGAGTGGTGATTGCTTTGGCTGAAACAAAATTTGGGTTAGGCAAGCCGCAACAAACCAAAGAGATGGGATCACTTTGGGTGTTTTAGGTTTGGTATGAGTTAGGGTTAGAGAATGGATAAATTAAAATTCATTTGGGGTTTAAAGTGGGAGAAGAAATAAATTTCTTTCAATATCGATATCATTATATATTTGTTGGTTAAGTTGGCAAAGGCTTGGAGCAATTACGTTTCTCACCCATGTTTGAATCCCACCTTTTACAAGTTTTTATTTAATTGATAAACTGGCTGGAATATTGGTACCTGAACCCTATGTTGTTGGGTCAGGTACCTTCGGATACCCGACAATGGCTAACCCCGTTGACATTCCTAATTTTATGTGTATATGAGAGACTAATTGAAATTATAATTTCATTTTACAGATGCCTCATCTTGCAACAACATATGCTGCAGTCAATTCACTTGTTACGTTGGGTGGTGACAAAGCTTTGTGTTCAATTAATAGGTGGTCAGTTTATTCAACGATAGCATTTTAAGTCCGTTTTGAAAGTGATTTGATGGAAATTTGAAATTTCCTTCAGAGAAAAACTGTACACATTTTTGCGGCGAATGAAAGACCCTAACGGGGCCTTCAGGTGTGACTTTTCCCTGTCCTTTTTTCTTTTTAAAGTTTGAACCACCTTCTAATAGACGTACAGCTGAAATTTACTTCTTGTCTTTTAAGTTGCTTTGCTAGAGAATGACTTTGTATTCAGAGGTTAATGTTATGTTGTAGTTGAACCAATCTACATTGAAGTATGGGGCATTGGTAGTGCTTGCTATTAAGAAAATGTACTTGTTAATCACTTTTTCCTTTTAAACAAGTGTTGAGAGTGAAATTTTAAGCGTTCTTGATGAATTTTTTGGCAGAATGCATGATGGTGGAGAAATTGATGTTCGAGCATGTTATACAGCCATCTCAGTAAGTGAGGAGTCATGCTGAAAGTTTAAGATTACCAATTTTTTTATTAGGAAGCTCTGCTATCATTGTAGATATATTGTTTCTTTTGGGTTGCACATACCTTTCATCAGTTTTCTTTTTTAAGATTATTCTATCTTTGCAATAAGCCAGCCATCTTGTCTTGTCCAGGTTGCTAGCCTCCTGAATATTTTGGATGATGATCTTGTTCAAGATGTTGGCAATTACGTCGTAAGGTCAGTATCTAGTTTTAATTTGCATTTTGAGCTAGTGACTTGTGGCAGCTAATTTGTTTTTTCCCCTTTCATCTTCAACTTGTATTAGGTTTAATTGGTTTCCATGTCCTTTTCCTTTGTTTTGTTGCTGCTAGAAAGCTCATTTTGTGGTGTGACATGCATAAAATTGTAAAAGCCTCATGTAGGTGGTTAAAGGTAGGAACCTCTAGTCATTATCTCATTCTCCTATAGCAGTTAAACATGTCAGGAAACGCCGAGTCAGTTAAGATATCAAAATTTTAATACTGCAAAGAGAGTCTGGAACATGGGGGCTTTTTATCATTAGAGTTGTTTTTATATTTTTGTTGCATGGGCCTGTTTATGCTGTTTAACCATTGCAGTTAATTTGGGTGCATTTCAGGACTGAGTGACAGTTTGTTAGGATGACTATACTGTTGTAACCAAGAAAAGCTCTTAACATCCATATTACACTGTTGCGGCTCTGCTTCAATGGCATTGATGAACTTGTTCTTCTGCATGTATATTAATAGTATCATGGAATGCATGGTTTGGATGCCTACTATTAACGGTCACGTGATTTGTGTTTTGCTGTCTATTGTGTTCTCTATGTGACTGAAGTAGTTTGTTCCATCTCTTTGAAGTTGTCAGACTTATGAAGGGGGCATTGCCGGGGAACCTGGTTCTGAAGCTCATGGAGGGTATGTTCTGCTCTGCTCTCATCTTTGCATGTTGATTTACCTGTTTTCACCAATTATTTAATAATTATCCTAGAAATTTGGGTCATTGTTTAGTTCCTCATGTATAGCATATGCCAAAGTGTTGCTTGTGGGGTTGCTAGTATCCAGGATGAGAAAGCCTCCAAAAGTTCTGACAATTTATTCATCAGGTACACCTTTTGTGGGCTGGCTACAATGATTCTAATCAATGAGGTTGATCGTCTGGATTTGTCTAGCTTAATTGTAAGACCACATCATTGCTCTTCATTAAGTCTATTATCTTGCTTCATACAAACTATGATAGCATTCTCTCGTGCATACATTAATAATCATGTATCCTGAGTTCTTCTACAGGATTGGGTGGTTTTCAGACAAGGAGTGGAGGGTGGATTTCAGGGTAGAACTAATAAACTGGTTGATGGTTGTTACTCCTTCTGGCAGGTATTATTTCTATTTCTGCTCATCTCATTCATGTTTTTAACGAGTTGTAAGTGAAGTATAACCAAGGAAGTGGCCAGGGAGGTGTATTTGCATTATTAAAAAGATTACAGTCAACTAAGGGGGAACAATCGGTTTCGGTGGGTGATGGAGAAGATAGTGGTGCTCGAAGTCAACAAACTACTGCATCATCAGATGCAACAGGAGAAGAAGGTTTGAACAAGGATTCATCTCAGGCTGGCAGCCATTTTGAGCAGGGAGGTAGGCTGCTTTAGCAGTTCATGATTCTGTCTGGCTATCCTTTGCTCGGTTTCTGAGAATTCATGAGACTTGTATTTTAATTTTTTTTTTCTTTTGGTTTGCAGAGCCACATGATACTTCCTGTCAAGAAGTTGTTGAAAATATTGATCATAATTCTAGCAAGAGGCGTGCAAAAGTGGAGCCTCTTTTCAATTGTTTGGCCTTGCAGCAATACATTCTTTTATGCGCACAGGTTTTATTACCAAATATAAGGAGTAGATTAGGGTTGCTTATTGGTTCAAAAATTATCTTCACTTTCTCAAAAACGGAATCAACTTAGGCCTAACATTAGTTACTCAAATGCAGGAGCCTGGTGGTGGACTCAGAGACAAACCTGGCAAGTCTAGAGACCATTACCACACATGTTACTGTCTAAGCGGCCTTTCAGTGTGTCAACATAGCTGGTCAGAAGATGAGGATTCTCCGCCCTTGCCCCATGCCATATTAGGTTCATATTCCAATCTTCTGGAACCCATCCATCCCCTCTACAATGTTGTATTCGATCGCTACCAGGAAGCACATGAGTTCTTTTCAAGGTCCTAAGCAAATCTACTGTCTTATGAAATGAGTGATAGATACTAATTAATGACAATTTATGAAGTGAGAGAAACATTCTGCTTATATTAGGCACTTTGCAACATTCAGAGTTTGTATGAATGCTTTTGTTGAGTGTCACTTAGGTTGAAGCTGGAAGCACTGATTCTTAAGGGTGCTCCCTTCCATTAGTAGTCCCACCCAAGTCTTGTTCCCTTTGTCAACCATGCATCCTATTGGTCGATGTCAAAGTAGGGTTCCATAAGGAAAAACATCCATAAGGAATTAAAGAATTTATAAGTTTTAGTAATAATCTTTTTCTTTTTTTATTTTTTTTAACTTTGATTGAGGAAAATCAAACATGAAATTCAAAGTCACTTTACATTCAATTTTCATCTATATATTTAGTATTCATAAGCTTGATATAAATGCTTATTAATTCTTTTTGAAAATTAAGGGAAGGGGATTCGAATTTTGTTTTTTAAAGAGATCATGTATCAAATAATAAATTAAATTTTAGAATGTAAATATTTATTTTTTTATTCACATGACAAAATATTTATAAATATATTTATATATTTATTAATTTTAATATAAAACTGACGAATTTGGTTGAAAATCAATAATATATACAAAAATATGGATGATATTTCAAATAATATCCATAAAATTTTTTATTAAAAGTAGGTTAATGAAAATTTTGAATTTTCAATTGATTATAAAATGAGAATGATATAAAAGCATTATCAATGATCTCAATATTCATGAATATAGGAATAAATTTATTTTCAAAATTTTAATATTTATTATATATATTTGTTGTTAATTTTATATGGATAGATGTACCTTAGTTTGACGAAGTAAATTTCCATAATAATATTAAATTCCTTGATTTTAGTATATTATATAAATATTAAAGTGTGCGTAAGGAAAGTACTAGTATTACAATTAGTTAAAATTAAAAAAACACAAGTGAAAGTACCAGTATTAAGTGTTGGCCTAGGCAGTAACGCCTGTCGTCTTCATGTCATCTTCAGTTTCGGTCCCCCGTTCTCCCTAATAGCCCCGACCCTGAGACCCCCAATCCAAGTTCACTGTCAAAGTCCAGAAACCTGAAAACTCAATCAAACCATCTTCTTCAATAATGGAGAACGAGAAACAAGAGCAAAAAGAAGATAAACGACAACACCATCATCAAGAAGAAGATAAACAACAACAGAATCATCAAGAAGAAGATAAAGAAGAACAACATCATCATCAAAAGCTTCAAGAAGAAGAAGAGAAACAACAACAACATCAAGAACAACAGAATCATCGAGAAGAAGAGCAAGAGCAACGAAAGCAACAACAAGAGCAACAGAAACACGAAGAAAAAGAAGAAAAGCAGCCAGAGAATAAGCAAAACCACACGGTATCACTATTTCCATTAAGCAAGAGGTCAACACCTCCAAGGACTGTTCCAAAAGCTCAATCACCACCATCTGATCATTCACCTGTTGATTCTCCACATTCATCTGATCACTCTTCTCTCAGCCACGGCTTCTCTCCACCACAACCAACATCTCAACCTTCTGATCCCAACTTCAAGCCACCATCTTTGGCAGTTTCCAGCGTGGACTTCACATCTAGAGATCAGTCAACTACTACTACTACCGTTGAAGTTGAAGAGCAGAGCCAAAAACTTGGTTCTGTTAGTGGTAAAAGATTGAGACCTGATTTGTCCATATTAAGAAGAACCAAGAGAGATAGGATGGTGAAAAAGGCTTTGTTGGGGTTTAGGATTTCTGGGTTTGCTTTTTGTTTGGTTTCTTTTTCTGTATTAGCTGCTGATAGAGATCAAGGTTGGGCTCTTGATTCTTTCTACCGCTACAAGGAGTTCAGGTTGGTGGCTTTTTCCATTTTTCTCAATAATCTGTTAATAGCCTGCAAAAAGATGTTTCCACCCCCGTCTAGGTATTATTTTTTGTTTTTTCATTTGGAAGACTGCTATTGTGGCTTTTATTTGCTTTTTGGAACTGTTCTGATTTGAACTGAGCATTGATTCAACTGTTGCTCATTCAAGGTTATTAACTAAGACTTGCTAGTTGCCATCCAATTGTTGGACAAAATGGTATAAAGATCTCGTTGTCTTCTTTTATTACATATCAAACTAGTTATTAGAGCCTGATTAGATGTTCAGCCATTGGCTTAATGATGTTTCTTGTTTTAACTGTTCATATCAAGTCTGTTGTTCCATGCTTCATGTTGTTTAGTTTCGTGTATTGTTTGATGTACAATGGTGTCTACCGGATTGCAGGTTCTGTATGGCAGTGAATGTGATAGGATTTGTATACTCTGGGATTCAGGCATATGATCTAGCCTATCAATTGACCTCCGGAAAGCAGAAACCCCGGAGTCGCCTCCGGTGTTACTTAGATTTCGTTTTGGATCAGGTAATTCTTCTTCAGACCAAAGGCTCTTACTTTTTATTTTTGGTTTTTTATGTTAATTATTATACCTAACCTAGGCCCCAGGTTTCATTTTCACGCCTAATTCTGGGATTGCTGTGATTAGGTAGTTTAGGGGACCACTGGCTATAAAGGTAGGTGCATGAGTCCAATGGACTACTGGTGTGTATTTATCTTTCTACGGCTCTACCCAGGTTTTGTTTCAGGCAAAAAGTTCTTAGGCTAGAATTCTTTTTTGGGACCAGTTTGTTCTCGGAAAACTTTTTGGAAGACCTTTTTAGAGCCTTTTTTCTGTGAAAATGCTGCCTTCACTTTCTCAACTTGTTTCCTGTGTCCCACTGGGGCTATTGGCTTGGGGAAAAGTTGGTACTTTTTCAAAGGGGAGAATTTGGGGTTTTGTTGGAGGAACTTTTGCAGTGTCAAAACGCTTAATTTGCAAGCAATACTTACAAAATCTATGGAGTGCGTGTAAAAGTGGAAATTTAACGCCCTCCCACAAAGACTGTTATAAACTCTCAAATGAGCAGATAAAGGTACTGGTTAGGTGGCATTGACATACTAACATAAAGGAATTCTGATTGTGAAGTGTCTTTTCCTTTCTAGTATTTGGAATACACGTGAGTCTGGAGCTGCTAAGCAATGTTGAATTGCTAGGCTGAGTTTCTGCATTTTGTTCTATCACGATAAGATACCAGGCACAGAACATTTAAGTGCTCTCTATGCTTTTTCTCTTTTCTGTTTCTTTTTAGGCTGCTGTTTCTCAAACTACCCTTTACCTGTAGTGCCTAAGATAACAAAATTCTTTAGGACCTGGCCTGAAACATTCCAAGATAGTGAGGTGAATTAGATGGCACATGAGGTCAAACTCTGTTTATTCCTCATACTGACATGATTGAAAACTGTGTGCTGAAGCACTTAAAACTGAAATGCTGGGGACTCTTTGTTTGTCTTGGCAGATACTGGCTTATCTTCTCTTATCAGCATCATCTTCAGCTGCTGTCCGAGTCGATGACTGGCAATCAAACTGGGGAAAGGACAAGTTCCCGGAGATGGCAAGGGCCTCCATGGCATTGTCCTTGGTAGCATTTATTGCCCTAGCCTTAAGCTCACTTGTATCTGGTTATGCCCTTTCTAATCTATGTAGCCGATGATACTTCTGGGATCCACGAATTAGTAATGTAAGGATTAAATAGTTTGAAAAGAACAAAGGGTGGTGGGTGCGGAAGGGTTTGGAAATATATAGTAATGAATTGTGTATAGGAATTTACCTTTGTTTCACTTGGACTATGTATGAAACACAAATGTTGAATGATTTCAACACATTGATTAGCAGATCTTTGTGCATCATTTATTGCCTCTTTGTGTATCTTAAATATGGGTTGTGGCGCTTAGTAAGACGATTGATTAGTGGTGAATGATTTCAACAAGTTAATTAACTGATGGCTAGAATTTTGGGACCAATCTGCCATTCTAACATCAATTACATAACCAAAGGGTTCTCACCGACTGATGAAAAAAGGTAAATTATCAATAAGAAGATATAAAGATAAATAAAAGAACACAAGTAAAATTTTGCTGTTGACGATTTTTGGAACCCTTTTTACATCTTCAAAAGCCTTCCACGACGTAAATGTTACAAGGTTTTTGATATGGATTTGGGTAACATCTATAACTATATTTAAAAAAAGAAGCCCTAAGGGCTTTTTTGCTTGACACCCAAATCCATATGGTTTTTTTTTTTGGTTTTTCAGTACTTATTATTAAATATCAAATCATATTTAATAAATATTAACATAGCAATTGAAATGTACTTATCTTTTCTTTACATTAAAAGTTAAAAAAAATTTAAATCCAACTATTTGCTAAAGGAAAAATATATATGTGTCAATTAATGAGTCAAATTATATAATATAATTTTCTTTATCAAATTAAAATATGCAACTGTTATTCATAAAAGTTTAATTTTAATTTTTTTTAAATCTTAAATTTTAAAAAATAATTTTTCTTATATTTAAATGCACTCTCTATTTTTCACTTTATAAAATAAAAAATACTAACTAACAAAATAACAATCTAAGGGAACTTAAATATATCCATTGACATAACTTTAGTATCCATTTGTAAACATGGCAACATGGAGAAAAAAGAAAATGAAAGAAATGATGGACTTATATATAGTCTTGTTAAGGTATATGTATGCTATTATGTAGTGTTTGGTATAAGAAAAGTGAGAGTATATTCCCTATAATATGCTTAATTAAATTATATTGTAGTATTTATTTTGCAACAAATCAGTATAATGTAAGATTACTACGAATGCTAATAGATGTAATGTAATTGCATCCTAAAACCAATATAATCAAATTGCATTACACTCTATAATGTTGTTAAAAACAATTTTGGTACTTTGTTAAAAATATTTTATAATGTTATAATTTGTTTTTTTATATAAATTTTGATGATGTTTTTTTTATTATCCTCAGTAATCATGATTACTGACAATAAAATTTATATTATCTTTTAAAAGAAAAAAAAATTAAAATAATGTATATAATATAGAAAATTATATTAAAAATGAAAATAAAATTTATAAGATTATAATAAAAAAAATAAAATATATGATATTAAAAATATATTTAAGAGATGATCTTATATAAAAATTAATAATAAAAAATACAAGTAAAGGTGGCTACAATAACAACAGTTATATATTTTGTATATGTCAATGTACACTAACAATTAGATATGATAATATAATTACTATTGCATATCTATTTTACAAAGTATTCTCAACTCAATTGAAAAAAAAAAATTTACCTTCTCAAGCGCATTGCGCGGTGCCACGAACTACGTTCCTTCGTCTAAGTATGCGATAGTCCGTACGGCACTTGAGTGGACGCTTCCACACAAGTCAGCCAATACTCAGTTATAACTGGTCAAACATTAATAATAACAACACATTAGACTAAAATAATCCGCATAAAAATCAAAGGACATACTGAATACCATATATGCAACCACTGAGCTATAAAAAGGAAAAATATTTTATTAATATGAAATTAATTACAAAGGGACTAAGACATGCCATTGTCTGGCTATAGGAGCAACCTTAGATGATTCGCTGCGAACATACCTTTACTAGTGAAGTAGCCAAACAATCCGTCTACTGCTCATCCCTATAAAGAGTTTTCAAGATTTGACAAGTATTCTACCGGTAGCCATTACAATGCTTGAAATGAGGACATTCCATTCTTAAAGGGTTTTTCTCTCTAAAGACTTAACAAGTATTTTTAGAGATATCACCGTAAACCATTACATTGTTTGAAAAAGAGACATTTCCCTTACAAGTACAAAAGGCTAAATCTCATAGACAACTCTACCCTATCATGGTCCAATACAAGGTTGGCTCATGACATCTTCCCCCACTCAATTTATCAATGTCCTCGTTAACTGATTAGCTTGAAATTCTTTAATCTTCTGCTGGAAGGCGTGAAGGTCAGTTTCCTTCTCCTAAGTGATCTCATAAACCTTCCCATTTCACCAAGTACTCCTATGTTGGTCATCAGTTGATTGTTGTCATCCTCCCTACCAAAGTCTCCTCTACTTGATGTTGTAATGGTGGCTTAGTGCTAATGGTGGCTTAGTGCTAATGGTGGCTCTTGTGGCTTGACTCTTGCTTACATTTGCTGGATTTGCATGGAACAACTTCAGATTGTTAACGTCAAACACGGGGTGTACCTTTATCCACTTGGGTGGATCAATCCTGTAAGAAGTCCTCCCCACCTTGGCTACCATCGGTACTAAACCTTCATATTTTTGGACTAGTCTTAGATCTCTCTTCCTTAAGAATCGAAGCTTTTCGAGTACTAACTTCATTATCACTAGGTTTCCCACCTTAAAATGTTACTCCCTTTGACCTCTATTTGTCCACTTTTTCATCCAACTGGAAGCTTTCTCTAAATAAGCTTTAGTGATTTTAGTGTTTTGCCTCTAGTTCTTAACAAAGTTAAACACCGGTGGACTCTCCCAGTATATAATTCCACTGAGGTATGAGGAAGTCTAGGTTGTTGTCTAGTGATGACCTCGAAAGGTTCTATTGGTGAGCTCTTTTGTGAGTTGCAACATAGTTAAGTCACCTCTAGTAGGTTAGGCCAATTCTTCTGGTTCGCTAATACAAAGTGTCACAAGTATTCTTCCAATAACCCATTGAAGAGTTATGTCTGACCATCTGTTTGTAAATGATAACTGGAAGATATGTTAAGTTTTGACCCTAATAGCTTGAACAGCTAGTTTTAGATAAAGTTGATAAACATTGGATCTCTGTTGCTGATAATGCTCTTCGAAACACCCTAATATTTTACCACATGTTTAAAAATCGTGCAAGTCATTTCTTTTGTGGAGCCAAACTTTTGTATTGGAATGAAGGTCGCGTACTTGAAAAATCGATCCACCATTACCAAAATTGTTGTCATATCCCCCACTTTAGGAAGTCCTACAATAAAGTTTAAAGAAATACTTTCTCAAGGTTTGGTTGGCACTGGTAGAAATTTGAGCATTCTCACTGGTTTTTGTCTGTTTACTTTCTTGTTGGCAAATGAGGCATGTCTTCATATAATCCATCACATTCTGTTGTATATGAGGCCAATAGTAACCTTTTTTCAATAGTGCAACAATCTGCTACCAACTGGGATGTCTTACCCAAGGAGTGTCATGACATTCTCGTGTTAATTTTTGCCTAAACTCTTCTATTTTTAGAACAAATATGTGTGGTCCTCTCGTTAGTAAGAGTCCATTTTCCACCAAAAAGTATTTCAACTTTTCGCTTTCCACCAATTTCCTAATGGCCATTACTTGAGGGTCTCGATGCAAATTTTTCTCAATCAAATTACGAATATCTGTGGTTACTCTGGTGGCTGTCATTGACGCGATCACCCTTAGAGCTGCAAATTCGACCTTCCTACTGAGGGTGTTACTATACGGTTCGATTTCCAGCTTTATCCTCGAAGGAGAAATCAAACTCAACTAAGATCTCTTGCCATCTCGCTTACTTAGCTGTAAGTTTTGGATGTGTAAAGAAGTGACTTACATTCATATTGTCCGTCTTAACCATAAATTGTCATCCTAGTAAGTAGTGTTGCCAAGCCCATAAATAATGAATCATTGTAAGTAGTTCTTTCTCTTGTGCCATGTATCTCTTTTCAACTCTCAACTTTCAAACGTAACCAGGTGTCCTTCTTGTAGCAACACTCCTCTAAGGGCAAAGTTTGATGCATCTGTCTGTGCCTTGAAGGGCTTTGCAATAGCAAGGAGTGATAACACAGGATCCGTCATCATAGTGTCCTTCAAACTTTCGAAGGCTTTTTGATACTTCGACTTCCAACTCCATTTCTGTTCCTTTTTTAACAATTTTGTTCGTCCTACTATCCTTTTTTGAATATCCTTCCATAAATCTCTGATAATAATTAGCTAACCCTAAGAAAGAACGAAGCTTAGTTGTATTCATAGGGGTGGCCCATTCTGTAATAGCCTTTACCTTCTGCATGTCCATCCAGATGTGCCTTTGTTCAATTATATGGCTAAGAAACTGGATTTAAGTTTACTCGAATGCACATTTCTCCCTTTTTACATATAATTGGTGTTCCCATAGCCTTAGGAGGACCTATCGCAAGTGCTGCTGATGCTCTTCTAAGGTCAAACTGTACACTACAATATCATATAAGTAGATCACCATGAACTTGTCTAGATAATCATGAAACACTTAGTTTATCAATATGAAAAAGGTAGCTGGAGCATTGGTTAGTTCAAAAGGCATAACAAGAAATTCAAATGCGCCATATTACGTTACGCATGTGGTTTTCAACTCATCTCCCTCAACCATTCTTACTTGATCGTAACCTGATCTCAAATCTAGTTTGGAGAAGTATTTTGCACCATTTAGTTGGTCAAAGAGATCTGCTATAAGCGGGATAGGATATTTATTCTTAATTATGACTTTATTTAAAGCCTGATAATCCACACACAATTATAAACTCCCAGTCTACTTATTTTGAAAAAGTACTAGGACTCCAAAAGGTTATTTTGATGATAGAATGAATTCAACTTAAATCAGCTCATCTAATTGTTTTCTCAGCTCCGCTAACTTTTAGGGACACATCTTATATGGCCCTTTTACAAGTGGCTTGACTCTCGAAGTAATTCTATCTTAGGATCGATAACTCGTCAAGACAGTAGGACCTTTGATAGTTGTTATGGCATCATATTTTGAAATTCTTCCAAAACCAATTTCACTTCTTTGGGTATTAGATTTTTGTTATCTTCGCTTTTGTAGATGGGCCTAGCCATGT